ACATCGGTTTTCTTCTCTCCTCTCCTGACTTCTTAGATAAACTACGTTGACCACAGTTTTGTGCCTTGCCCTCCAGGTTCCTTGAGTGAATCCTCCCAGGCAGGTGCATTCGTCACCCCCGAAGTCCCTCTCATATTCTTTGGAGACACCCCAGCCTTCCTTGTCTCAGTGCCATCAGTCCAATAGGGTGGGTCCAGTGCTCATCCTCTTCGCTGAGCCTGAATGCTGCCCTGCTACTGCAGACCGAAGGATTGGATTTACCAGGCAAATGATGTCTGAGGACCCTGCCTGCCTTCTCCACCCAGGCTGGTTTTCGTTTGATGGACTGTTTCTGTTTTTCTTAGGTTCTCGTACAGGCCATCAAAGAAGCAAAGGAGCAGCACCCAGATATGTCAGTGACTAAGGTGGTCGTACATCAGGAGACAGAGATCTCAGAGGAGTGAGCTCAGGTAGGCGTACTCTTATGGCCTTGAGGAAGTGCACTGTCCCAGCCCCAGAGAGCCTGGGGAGGAACTCTGGGCCACCCCACAAGGAGGCGTCTACACTGGACCTCTTGACATGCAGAGGGGGAGAGGCTAAGTGATGTGGGAGAGTGATGTGGCTGCTGAAGCAGCCAGGTGGCCCTTAGTGGTGCTGGCAGTGGGGGTGGGAGGAGGTAAACTCCCCGCTGCTCCAATCCTCAGGAGTTCTCCTGCCCCTATATTTTATCTCCCCTTTTCCTCTGCTACCTCTGCTGTCCCACCTGTCTCAGGTACCTCTGAGCCCAAATCTATGAGGACATCTTGTTAGGTACTGTTAAGTTGGAACCAACCTGTAGCTGACCCTCCAGCAGGTTTTCAGAGGCAGTGAATTGAACAGGAGGAGATCACCCATTCTTCTCCCACAGAACAGCTGGTGGATTTGAACCACAAGCTTTTGGGATTACAGTGCAATTTTTTACCACTAAGCCACCAGAGTTCCCTATAAAGACTAGAGAACAAAGCCAGGGACAGGACCAAACTTTTTGGAAATGAGGGGTATAGGGGAAATAGCTGAAGGTCTGGGGCCAGACTTGAGAACTGGAAGCACAGTAGCAGCTTTTTGGGAACCAGGGAGGGATCCAGGCAAATTCATGCATCAATGTAGTTTATAAATGGCTTAAAGAAACCATCAGATACCAGCTGGGGCAGGGCCCTGATTGACACTTGTGGCCTCAACAGCTTGGCATTGGGATTGTATTAGAGAATAGGGGAACTGAGCCCTGTTCTCTTTCTCAGGATTTAAGTATTTGCTCTTTCTTTCCTCTAGGAACTGTCCTACCCCCAACTCCCTGCCCTTCTTCCGTCTAAGAGAAAACCAGCAAAATGATAAAGAAGCTAAACTGGAGTAATGAGACTTCAGACTTTAAAGATTATTCTAAACCACCAAGAAATTTATTTCCTTTTCTATTTGGAGTTTATACGAAGAGATTCTTCTAGACACCATTGATCCTTTTGAATACTCTTTTCTATATCGTGATACAAGGTATCACTCAACTCTTCACTCTGTGGACTGGTTTTAAGTAGTTTTTTTTTTTTGAATGGGGTGTTTGCAGCCCCTTCAAGCTAGCCTCTCTCCACTTCTTTCCAACCCAGATACTGACGGAGTCCACAAAATTCTTCAGAAACTCCTCCAACAGACTCTGTCAGCGGGGTTGGAGGCCAAAGCCAGCTTCACCGGGCTTCCCTGCGCCTCCTCTCCTTTTATACCTTTTGGAAGACAGCAGAAAAAATGTTTACCGAGCCCTTTCTCAGATCCAGTGAGGTGGCCCTACCAGCATGTTAGGCAGAGCAGCCACCCCGGCCCACAGGCCCTTGGACAGGCTCCCAGCCTTCGATTTGCGAAGGCAGAGACCTCTGCTAAGAATGGAGTGTTGTTTCTCTCCTTCCTCCCGTCTCTTTTTTTTTCTCTTTGGAGCTTCTTCAGATCAAAGATATAAGAAGGTGCATCAGACGTATCTGATACTGTGAATGTTTTAACATATCTGTGGCCTTCACTTTCCTGCCCTCCCGCCCGAGCTGCCCTCTTACCTCATTCCAAAGAGCCGCTCTGCTACGCGCATCCCTCAGCTGCCGTCTCAGGAGACAAAAACTCACGGAAAAAAATAGGCACTTTGAGTCAAAGGTGCTAATGGCACATTTTTAGTGGTGATTTGAGGAAGGAAAGTTAATGAGGTTTTTAAAATAAGGCTTTCCAGTTCTGGGAGTATGCACTTGACACAGGGGAACGGTGGAGTTGACCTCAGTCAGATCCTGGTGACAAGTATTTCCAGGTGACCATCCCCAAACCTCTTTCTCTAATCCCAGGATGAAAAGAATGTGACTCAAAGAGTGGTTGTGTTCCTTGATCTTTCTCCTCTCCAGACACCCTCTTGAGGACACTGTCGTGGAGCATGGCTGTTAGAGGCCATTCTGCTCACAAGATGACAGTGGATACACATCTCCCCCGCCATCTGATTATATAGGCTTGATTTTGTGTGGGTTTGGGGTTCGGCTCTTTTGGTTTTGGAAATGTGAGAACGAGTCTTTGATTCCATCATCCCTATATGCCTCCTGGTACAGACTGGAGGGTATTTGTGGGCTTTTCTACTCTTCCAACTAGCTTCCCACAAACAGACCTTCCGCGTGGCTCCTTGGAATCCCAATTCAGAGTTAGCAGTGAATTTTGTGAGATAGAGATAGACTATGGAGAGTGATTGCTGGGGCCTCGAGGGCAGTGAGCAGGACAAAGACTCAAAGTGTGTGTGTTTGCTCCTTTGCTGGGACTGTCTGGCTGGTCTGACTGATACCACGTGTTTTCATTTTTCCTTTAAAACTCAAGTGAGACTGTTAACCCCGGGTAGGTCTCTGGGGAGAAAAGGTGAGGCTGCTGCTGGGATGTGTGGGCTTCGGGGAAGGGAAGTTGTCCAGTCTCAGGGATAGACTTACAGGCTATGGGCAGGGGGTCTGAAATGATGGGCTGTCCGAGGGATGCCTAGGTCTGGCCAGTCTTGTCAGAAGTGGTGGCTGGGTTAGAAATGCAGCTCACAGCAAACGTAATCAAATGAAATGTGAGCTTGCCTCCCTAGAGCTGTGTGCCTGTGGCCAGCGCTCCCCTGAAAGTATTCCCAAAGCTGGACCAGTGGCCTTTAGAGCATGAGGACAAGCAGGGGAAGGCACACGTGCATCTACACATACTCAGCATACGTGATAGTCTGTGCTGTCCAGACCAGCGTGGCAGCTTCCAAAGCACAGGACCATGAGCTACAGGGCCTACAAACTGTCCCTCAGCCGTCACTAGATCATGACACTTCGCTCCAAGCTGGCTTCCTCATCGGCAGATTGGACCAGAAGATCTCTAATGCTCTGAGAAGCTATGCCCAGCCTGAAGGGTGTCTGTCCTTCCAAACCTGGACTTCCCCTCTCCTCCCTCTCCGGCAGCAAATCCTGGGAGTTGGCAGTTGTTTGGATTTTTTCCTTCCTGCAGTTGTTGAGTGTGTGTAAAAACGGACTCTCCAGGTGGAAGTGATGAAGAGGGGGAGGAGAGCTGCATCTCTAGGGTCAATGACTTGGCATCAGTTCCCCAAAAGTGATTCAGACACACCACAGCAACAACTCCTGCTGCAATTTTATTTTTGCTTGAGAAATAGATTTCCTCTAGGCCACATGAGGTCTCTACCTGTCACCCACCCACCAGCACAGCAGAACCTGTATTCACAAGCCAAGACTCCACTGAACCCAGCTGCAGGGCGTCTTGGCCCACTGAGGCCCACCACATGTTCTGAAGGGCGGCAGGGGCAGGGACACAGCTGCCCACCTTGGACAGTGGAAGCAGAGCTTGGCCTGACCCACACCAAGGGATGCTCATGGGAAATCTCAGCTCCCAGCTGGTTTTGTTTTTACAAATCTTTCTCAAATGTATTATTTTGGTGACAAAAATGAAGGAGCTTTGTAAATTTTTTAAAAACTTATGAATCATATCAAGTAGTTGTTTACATTTCTTGACAAAATAAGAACTATGGCAACAAAATGAAACTGGCAAAATCTTTAGATTAAATAGGCAATAATTCGGTCTGCTCTTATGAACTTTCGTAGTAAAAGAAGTGGTTGTAGTGTTTAGACATGTGTTTGGTCTTGCTTCTTGTATTGCATTTTTCAATAAACTTGGGGGAAAAAAACAAACCACCACTGTGTAGGACACTTGATCCACTTTTAAAAGTTCTCTTCTCTTACCAGCAGCAAGTTGGAGAAAATGAAACATGAGTGAGGGGAGATCGGGACTCACCAAAATGCAGCTTAGTGTTGTATAAAAAATTTCTGACAACTGGCAAATGCTTTCTGCCAACTGGAGGGCGATCTAGCAGCACAGACGGTGACAGAGTTAAGGAGAGAAGGCAGCTTCTCAGACTGTCTGGGGGCCAGACCCTCCTGTGAAGGCTTTGGCAGTAGTGTAGCCCTAGTGAGATGACCCTGCGTATCTGAGGGAAAGGGGTGAAGTGGGGGTAGTTAAAAGGCCCAGTCCCAACCCCAGATGGCAGTGGAGGGTCTCAGCACCGCCCTATCACCCACCTTCCTTCCCAAAGGCCCACATGACATCACCAGTGCCAGCACTTTGACTGAAACCTGTCCCTAGCATGGAAACTCCAGTCTACACTCAATGTCTTGAGGATTTTTGCTTTCTACTTTGGTTTAACACAACATCAAGTACTCTCCCAATCACCCTGGCCTGGCCCTCCAGCCCCATCAGGTACCTGTCCAGGGCTAAGGCCACGTTTGGAGGCTGAAGGAATTCCTGAGGCCACATCCTCCTGGTCTCCAGACTCACTCACATTAGAACATTCTCCAGCTCAGTTGAATGCCAGTACAGTTGGCATTTCTCAGCTGGCAAGTGCAAGGTCAGGATACCTTAGCTGCTGGGGCCAGAGCATCCATCCAGCCAGCCAGTGACTGAAGCATCTACTAGACGTTGAGCCTCCTGGTCCTGGTCATCGCTCATGCTGCTCCTCAGACTCGAGCCCCCAAGTCCCCTCCTCCGCCCAACTTGGCATAACCCCCCAGACTGAGGCGGTCGAGCCGTGGCCAGCTGCGATGGGCACAGTCCCGAGCGGCTGGGGCCCCAAGCAGGAGCTCTCCGAGGCCCAGATCCAGAGACTTGGAGTGTTCGATGCAGGAACTGGAGGGCTGCATGGTGATGATCACATGGCCAGTCTGGGTCCGGGGACCCCAGAGCGGAGGCAGGCCCGGGCCCTTGAGCGGGTAGCTGTTGAGCAGCGCAGGTAATCCCAGGCGAGGATTAGCAGGCTCTGAACGCAGACTCCTCACCGAAGGGACCGGGGAGGTTCCGCGCCGAGGGGACAGGTCCCAGCTTTCCAGCTCTGCGCAGCCTATGGCTCGCGGAGTCCGGGGTCCAGGGCTGGGGAGCAGAGCGCAGTCCCAGCTGGGGCCGTCGGGTGGCCGGAGCGCCTGGGCGCGCAGAACCCCCTGGCGGAGCCGTCGCGTCTCTAAATCACGGTTCTCGTAGAGCAGCGTGTTGGCGCAGATGAACACAAACAGGCCGACACCCATGACCACCGGCCCGAGGAGCCTCAGCCGCTCGTGGGGGCCGTGACCCCGGCCGGCGCCGCGGCCCTCTCGGCGCAGCTCACTCACCCGGGGCGCGCTGGCATTGGCGGCTCGGGGTCCCAGAGCCCCCGCGCGGTGCGGCCAGTAGCCTGCCACGGCGATGCCCATGCCCACCAGCACCACGAGCGCCCCCAGGGCGGCGAACGCCCCCG